ATGTCATAAGTAGGGACTTAACAGGAAGAACAAAAAGCACTTGGCAATAAAGTAACCTTTTAAAATAAATATTCCTATAAATTATGTCTCAAGAAAAGTGTACTAACTAAAGTTGTTGAGATTTCAAGATATTTGTTAGCATTAGGAGCCATCATATCAGTGAAAACTGGGTGTTAATCTGGCAGGTGAGCTGCATCCTGACACTTCCACCTGAACCATCCTGAGCACCACATACAGGGTGTGGCAAAAGTAGGTTTACAGGAATTCATATGAAAAATGCATTCCACATATAAATGAGATCATAAGGTACTTATGTTTTTCTGACTGGCTTATTTCACTTAGCATAATATTCTCCAGGCTTATCCATGCTGTTGCAAAGGTAAGAGTTCCTTCTTTTTCACAGCCATGTAGTATTCCATTGTGTAAATGTACCACTGCTTTTTTATCCACTCATCTAGTGATGGACACTTGGGCTGCTTCCAAATTTTGGCTATTGTAAATAATGCTGCAGTGAACATAGGGGTGCATATATTCTTTCAAATTACTGTTTTGGGTTTCTTTGAACATATTCCCAGAAGTGGAACTGCTGGGTCATAAGGTAATTCTATTTTTAATTGTTTGATTTATTTTTACAAAATTAACTAATTAACCAATTTTAATTGTTTGATTTATTTTTACAAAATTAACTAAAATCAGTATGGTAAGAGATATACCTAGAAATGTAAATTGTGGCAGTTTATTGAAAGCCTTGAAGGATTTTGTCCTAAGTACTTGTGGATTGTGGAAGGTTTAGAGCAGATTTTCAGGTATTTTTTTAAGGAGGGTTTGATGGATAGTAGAGCTCAACTGAAATGCTAGGAGTTGCTTTCTGAATTTCTTGTATCTAAACTGAACTGACTTAGTGGTAATGCGTTTCAGAAAATAATTCAGAAAAGGATTCACAGATTCCATCAGCTTTGCATCTCATGGATATTTGATGAATTCTATTATTCACATTGCATTATAAATCCATTAATTTATCTTGCTTTTTCTTTGCTAAGAATCACACATGAAAGCACTGGACTTTGGTTAGATGAGGAAGGAGAAAGAGTAGGTAGGTGGGTAAAAAAAGTTTCTGCATTCTGGCAGTTGTGAGGATTCAGTGCACTCAAGCTTGGACAGGGGCCAGAGATGGGGTACTGCAGAAAGCAGGTTGGCAGCCACCAAAAGTAGACATCAAGTCTGTGGGCTTGGGTTAGCAGTATTAGAGGCCACCTGTTGGGTTAGGAGGGTCTTAGGGGACTGGCCCGGGAATATATCAGCACTCAACATTGTTTCTAAGGGAAAATGAATTCCAGTTTCCAAAAGACAACACAGAAATGTGCCCAACTTGTTTATAAAGGGACTGACAATGATTAATTATATGAGTGATTATTATTAATGATATGAGTCATTATTAAAAGCTAATGAATATGGAAGATGAGAAAGTGTGTTAAGTTAAAAAAATTCTAGGCCTCATGTTTCTTTTCCTTCTTGATGCATTTATATCACTCCCTATTTTCTACTAGAATTTTGGGTTTTTTTAGGAGCAGAAGTTGGAACAGATGTTTGTCAAAGACAAACTTTTGTGTACATCAATTCTTTTCCCCTAGGCCTTATTGGTTAATTGTGTGTTTATGCAAAGCAGTCCTCAGGCATTGGCTGTTTGCAAACAATGGCAAGTTGGTGCCTAGCTGTTCTTTCATGAGAGTAGAACCTTTCTTCTATTATCATTGACCTAATTTATTTCAAATATGCATTTTTAATTATTTTAAAAATAGTGTACTAATTGTGTGTTGGGGTTTTAAAATGTGATTTTGTGAAGTAATTGCTCTAGAAAGTGAGACTTATCAATTTGGAGGGCTTATATAGGTTATTCATTCAACTATTATTTATTCTATACCTATTGTACACTGCCTCTGAGGCCCCAAACCAGGCCCATGGGACCACAACAAAATAAAGCAACAAAATAAAATCCTGGTATCCAAGATGTCATAACCTAATTAGGAGAGATGTCAAGAAGGCAGATATCAAAATGTTTACCCAATAATAAGATTCTTTATGCAAAACAAATATAATTTATATTGGATTTCTCTATATTTTTTTCCTGTTAGAATTCCATTTTTACTGTGTGTGAATTTTGAGTCACTCCTGACAAAGTTAGAATAGTCCTATTTGGGGTATGGGACTCTAAATAGAAGTGAAATAGAAGGCATAATGGGAATAGAGATTCTTGAAGTAAGTCCTTGTGAGAACTTAAGGATGCTGAGGCTTAGAATTATACAGCTGTTTCTGTTGGAAGGAAAAGCCATTCATTCTCTGATTTTACTCCTTATTCACTACTGTGTCAAGAGTGAGTTTGCATAGCTACTCTTATGGGAAACCCCCTGAACTTATTAATAGTAGTTTTAATAATGTACCTATTACCTGTCTGGTAATAATGTGTTTAGATTTCTGTCTCCCCCTGTAGATTGTAAGAGGTGTCTCATCTGTTTTACAGCTCCATTTGTCTTCTTGCAACACATTCTCCAGTTTTCCAGGGTCTGTAAGGAAACCTCTTATCTATAGTTAGTAAGGTGAATAGTCATTAAACGACTAATGTCCTCTTCCTATTAAGTACCCTCCCCCCTTTCACTAACATAGTGTCTGGCTTACCATTACTACTTGATACATTTAGTTTCTTCCCTACATTTAACTATCCCCCTTTCCCTTCCTTAAGATAGTTTGGTGTTTTGTAGTGTAAGGAGAAGTAAGGATAAGGCATTTGGATTTTAAATCTGTAGGCAAAGAGAACTATTAAATTTTAACCTGTGGTCAAAGGGAAATATTAAAGAATTTGAACAGGAGAATCACATAGTCAAAGGGGTATTTGAAAGAGAGTGAAGATAAAGCCAAGTAGGATGATGCTACAGAATGGTCACATTCACACCTAGTGAAGCTGTTGAGATGATGCAATAAATAGTGCATGAAGGTAAAATCCAGTTTTATCAATAACTTCAACTATTGTATTACTAAGCCCTGTATAATTAGTCTAACTTCTGACCTAAAGCCCATTGCTTTGCTAATGTGATACAATAAATTCCTTTGAAAGACAGAATCATATAATGCCACTCTGTAGCATGGCCTGTGGCCTTTAGAAGGAGCTTGGCATCTCTAGGGAAAACAACAAACATAAGGAGCCAAGTGTTTGTGAAGGTATATCCTAGGTCTGTGGAAGTACAGAGGAGCTGTGGAGAGCTGATTAATGTTGCTGCCTGGGGACCACTGGGAAGGTTTCCAGGAAATAGGCTTCCAGGTCTTCCTGAGGGAGGAGCAGGATAAGGCTGTGCAAAGGCCTTCTGGGGGTGGGGTGGGGTGGGGGCATGAAGGGCAAAGGATGAGAGAATTGATGAGGCTGGGAATGTAGATAGGGGAGGCCAGATTGTGAAGAGCCTGGTTTTAAATTGATGTTAAAAGCATCAAATCATACTCCCCCATGGTATATATATGCTGTGTTTCTTTTTTTCCATGCAAAAAAAATAAATACAAGCCTATAGAAATTTGGAGAAAGACATTTTAAAGCACAAATGAAGCGCTTTTAATCCCAAACCTTGGAAATTGTTACTGTCCCATTGGGCTGCAGTCTTGCAAGGTGTATCACTCAGGAATGTGACAGGATCAGCTCTAGACTTGGAATGATATTACATGAGGGGCCCAACAGGGAGGATGCTTTCTAGGGTTGGGCTGGTCAAGGGATGCACTAATGTGTGGGCAGAAAAAAAAAATTTTTCTCCCACCTTTGTTCTTCTGACTTGGCTAATAATCAAAATAATATGAGACAGATTAACAGGAGAAAATGTCCAAAATTTATTACATATGTACATATAGAGGTGCCATAAGAATATGAGACCCAAGGACATATGGGGAAATTGAGGTTTATATGCCATTCTGGACTAAAAAGAGGAAGGCAGGGGCCTGGGATTTCAAAAGGAAAGTAGGCAATTCACAGGTAGATGAGAAAGAGCAAACAAGTAAGCAAATTCTTGCTGAGTGGACCACCAAAAACAATGGGACATAGAGGGAGTGCAACAAACAAGACTTGTTTGGATCCTCCTTGTCTGCCACACTTAATTCAAATATTCTGAGGTAAATGGGTTGAGTATCTCCTTTCTCTTAAACAGGTTTTTCAATTTGAATTTCTTTAGTCAGGTAAAGGGAGAGGGTCAAAAATTTTTTCTGTCTTTTGTTAAATGATCAGTTTAAAATCAATATCCCAAAAGGCATGCTTTGGAGTGACAAACTCTGGTCTCCCCTTAGTGTAGGATATAGCTGTCTGGAGTGGAAGAGATTCATTGGGATGTCTGGGATGTGACACAGGTAATGTTAACATAACAAACATGAAAAACTGCGAAAAATTTTTGTGAGTTTATTTGAACCAAACTGTTGACATGTGCCCGGGAGCCAAATTTAAATACAGTGGTACCTTGGTTTTCTAATGTAATCTGTTCCAGAAGACCATTTGAGTTCTGAAACATTGGAAAACCAAGGGATCAACAGCTGACAGCTAGGCTTCAGGATCTTGCACTCAGTGAAAGCCTTGTGGCATGTGTTGACTTCCGAGGTGTGTTCAAAAAGTGAAGCATTTACTTCTGGGTTTACAGTGTTCATAAACGGAAATGTTCATCAAGGGAGACGTTCAAAAACTGAGGTACCACTGTAATGCTCTAGAGAATGGCAATTTTGCACCTTATTTTATACATTACAATCAAAGGAGAAGATGCAAATGGGTTACATGAAATTCATTGGTGATAGTTTAAGAAGGTGGGAGAAAGCAAAAAAGAGAAACCTCTGGGATTGGATAAAAAGTAAAATGATGCACACTTCTTTTACATAGGTGAGTACAGGATAGTTAACAGTCAACAGTTAACAAAATAACAGTAACAATGAGAGGTTTCCTGGTGGTCTCTGCCTTGGTGCATTGAGAGCTGGAAAAAAGGGGAAATACTTTGTTAATCAGGTATGTTAGCTCAGATGCAAAAGACAAGGGACAGGCTTAGTTAAGGTGAAAATTAACCTTTGTGAAGGACAAATACTTCCTTATGGCAAGACTATCCACCTTACACTGCTTTTAGTTAAAAAGTTTTAATTTCAGACCACCTTTTGTGGTTACTTTAGGTCTCTGAGTTTGCAAGGCCACCAGGCAGGCCTTCCCTGAGCTTGTCAGGTTTAGCATGTGGCCCCTTTTTGTCCACACTAAGAAATATGTGGCAGGATTTGATGACCTATTTGAATGTAAGATTGAGGCAAAGGTACGTATAGAACTTATGTGGACTTGTTCTGAGTCAACAATGGCATCATGGTCTCTAGCTGGGCAAGTGGTTATAGTGTGGGACTGCAGGCAAATAGGGAATGCAGGAACAAAACTGGTATTTTAAGAAAGCTAATAGGTTCTATACCTTTCTCTTTTAAAATTAATAAACTTCATTTTTTTGACCAATTTTAGGTTCATAGCAAATACTGAATGAGAGGTACAGAGAGTTCTCCTACCTCCTAACCCCATACATGCACAGCCTCCCCTACTGTGGACATGCCTCCCTTTATCTAAAAGAGTGGTTCATTTATTATAATTGATGAACCTACACTGACACATCATTATCACCCCAAATGCGTAGTTAACATTAGGACTCACTCTTCGTGTATGATCTGTGAGTTTGTACAAATGTACAATGACACTTAGCAGTTTCACCTGCCCTAAAAATCCTCTGTGTTCCACTTACTCATCCCACCTTCTCCCCAACTCCTGGCATAGATTCCATTTCTACATTGGAACATACTCTTTTTCAGAAACCTGGAGTGTGGAAGTCAATGGTGGTCAAATTTTAATTAATTAATTAATAACTAATTATTATTTTAAACCAGGGCCCTTTCATCAAGGAAGCCTTATTAAGTAAGTCTGAATGAAGAAGGGCTGCTCTGGTGGAAGGCGACAGACACAAATGGACAGAGTCTTGTGCTTTGCCTTCCCCCTGATGTCTAACTCCACCCCGCCATTCTCTTGTTTCTGTTGTGTCTGAGGCTCTCTGCCATCTCCAGAATCCTGAAGAACACATTTGGAATCTTGGAAACTGCATGGTAGTCGAGTTTGGAGCTCAGAGGATGGGCAGGTAGTTCCCAGATACAATGACTTTGAACTTTTGTGCTTTTGAGACCAGGTATCTGTTTTTTAATAGGGTTGCATTTTCCCGTTTGTTTGATTTGTTCCCTTTCCTTAGGAATCAAGCTGCCAGCTTTGATTTTGCTTTTCTATTGTTGCACCTGCTGGTAGCATCTCCTCTTCCCTCTCCCATTTTGATGATGTGATTTACTCTAAACTTGGAAATCTATGAGCATACTTGTTTTAACTGAGTTGAAAATACTTATAGCCCAGCTGGGCGTAGCTCAGTGGTTGAGCATTGACCTAAGATCGAAGAGATCACAGATCTCCAATCCGGGGCCTGCAGGAGGCAGCCCATCAATGATGGCTTTCATCATTGATGTTCTATCTCTCTCTCAACCTCTACCTTCCTCTCTCTGAAATCAATAATGATATATTAAAAAAAGAAAAAAAGAAAGAAAATACTTGCAAATAGGTCTCTCATGATCTTTTCTGTAAAGACTTAGAAACATCTGTTTTGGCAGTAGAACCCTTTTTTTGCTTGTTGTTAGTTCTCAGTTATGTTTTGTACAGATGTAGTTCCTGGATAGTCAAATTTTGTACAGTGATGGGCCAGGTACAGAAACTTGGGTACAGAAACTCACCAGGGCAGAAAGCCCCAGATGCCTAGCAAGGGGCAAAACTGAGAAAACAGGAACCTTGTCCCCAGGGAAACCTATCCTCCCCCAGCATATGACTGGTAATGCAGTTTAGACCCCTGAGCGGTTCATCCCTAAAGATAACATCTAGGCCTCAGTTGTATTTCAGCTCCTGGCCCAGAAAAGCAGCAAAACCAGACTAGTGTCTGCCTCAGGACCAGCTACACTGAGTAATGACCCACTGCCCTGGCACCGACCAATCAGTGGAGACCATGACCCTGAAAGAGCACACCTGGAAAGCTGATGAATATTCTATTGAGACGCTCCCCTGAGGCCTCCTCTAAGAGTCCCACCTGCAAGAAAGAGATAAATACACTCAGGACAAAGGACCCAGGGACACAACCCACCAGGGGAACATGCCAGTGCCATCTCCATCTCCCTTCTTCCCTCTAAGGGGACCCTATGAGACTTGTAACCAGAGGAGCAAAGGGCAGAGGCAGCTCATCCCTGGCTCACCCCCTTAACCTGCCTCTAGGGCCCCCTTCTCTCTCTGACTGCTCAGTGAGCCAGTGCAGCCCAGCCTAGGTTCTCCTGCTGCCTCTTCTATGCTCTTACTGGTTTCACTGTCCCAAGTATACTTTTGCTGCCATCATGGACCCAGTACCCATTGATTCAATGCTGTGTAGCCCTCCACTTTGGATATCCCCAGTCCCTTTCCTTAAGTAAATTCATTTTTTTCTTTATCTACCATCTGAGATGGCTCTTTAGCTGGCGCACCACTGACCTTAACCTTTCAGTGATCACTCCATTTCTGTCAGGGTCAGTTATCCTCTCATCTTGCTCTTCCTGCCTGATCCTGGAATTATATAGAAAGTATATATTATGGGCTCACCAAGTCTGTTGGGTGAATAGTAGCAGTTAATGCTGATTAGGAGGAAAATGAAGCCATAATTTTAATTCCTAGTGAGATGCTAATATGTTGAGATAACTGAGATATGTGAAATTTATCTTTTCCCCCCTTCTTTGTCTCTAATCTATTTCTGAAATTGTTTTTCTTTTTCTTTCTTTTTCTTGGCACCTTTTACTTACAAAATGAAGATTCAGGAAGAGTAAACTGAAAAATAACTTCTTGTTAATAGTAAGAATCCATATATTAGCTTATAGTTTTCAAACTGCTCTTGCACAAATCCTCTCAGTATGAAAGGTAGTGACTTGTTTTAGTTTTGCACAGAGGAGGAAACAGGATTAAAGTGGTTAATTACTTGAAGGTCATCGTTAGTAATGAGCTAGCATTCAGACTCAGGTCTTCTTCCAATCCTGTGCTTTAGCCATTACATCATGTTGCCTCTTGTTTGTGGAAGCACTAGTTAAATTGTGGGCCCTTCCAAACTTGAATAATAAAATATCCCACTTGTGGGGTGGTTTACAGTATTTCCAAGCATATACTCACAATGTAAAGAATAGAGATTGGAGCCCAGCCTGGTGTGGCTCAGCGGTTGAGTGTCGACCTAGGATCCAGGGGATCGGGGTTTGATCCCCAGTCAGGGGCGTGCAGGAGGTGGCCAATCAAAGACTCTCTCACCATTGATGTTTCTATCTCTCTCTCTCCCTCTCCTTTCCTCTCTCTGAAATCAACAAAGATATATTTTTAAAAAAAAGAAAACAAGAATAGAGATTGAAATGCTAGAAACTTAGGTCATAATCTTCCCAAGGTAGCATTGGCATTCTTTTACAACAGTGTTATGAGTTGCTTATCCTTAAAATGTTCAGTCATGTTGTTAATATCCAAAATAATACATGAAAAAAACTATAGCATTCTTAGTCTACTTTAAACAAGACCCAAATAATGAGGCATGTTATTTAGGTTTCTTCTTTGCTGCTCTAATGCTTATTCTTCCCTTTCACTACATTTGGCATAAATAAAGTATCAAACAGGCAATGGAATGGCAATTCCATCTCCAAAAGAAGTGGTACTAAGCGGTGACAAAAAATATATCTCATCTCCTTATTTTTAAAAATAATTCTAGATCTCCATTGAAACTTAAGAAATGATGTCTAATCAACATTGGCACTCTAGCTGGAAAAGTCAAATTATATACGTGGTCAGGGATTTAAATTAACTTAAATCAAGACTCCTCAATGGCTTATTAAGTATAAATTTTCAATGACATCAGCTTACCTTAGCCCTTTATGTTATGAGCCCAGGCTGCCTAGTCTAAGTCTTGGTTTGGGCAGAATATATCACTTTAGTTCAGGGCCTTTTGTTTTATGTGAAATTCAGTATTAATACATAAAAAGAAATTAAGTTGTTGATCAGAACAGACTCAAGCAATCACTATGTCACTTCCTTTGGGCCACAGCGTATGCAAACCTAGGAATGATGATAAAAAATTATATTTTATAATGAACTTTGAATATTCTTGTATTTAGTTGTGTGTTATAAGGTAAGTTTATTTAACTCAATACTATTTTTATGTAGTATATTCTGTTGTATTTCTATTCCAGGGAGGGATTGTAAAATATATTTTTTGGTGTGCTGCAGGATTTTAGTAATTAGTTTATGTGTGTCATGAGATGAAAAAGTTTAAAAATCACTGACTTATATAATAGGACCTGGGGTGTATGTGAAGATTTTGCAGCATTTTATGTTATTAGGGATTCTAATTTCTTTCAAGGCTTCCACTTACCAATGGCACATATTTTCCACCTCAAAATCAGAGTTTTAGAAAACCATCTAATTTTGTCAAAGGGAAATTTTACTTGTAAAATTCCTGGAAGGTGGTGATAAAGTAAATTATTATAACATTGGAATGAAATATTTGTGTGTTTGTTTGTTTGTTTTTGTTAATCCTCACCCGGGGTATTTTTTCCCACTGATTTATTTTTTTAGAGAGAGTTTGAGGGGGCTGGGGGAAGGAAAGAGAGAAACATTGATGTGAGAGAGACACATCAATAGGTTTCCTCCCGCACATGCCCAGACTCAGGATTGAACCTGTAACTCAGGCATCTGCCCTTGACTGGGAATCCAACCAGTGACACTTTGGGCCCAGCAAAGTGGGTTGTTGTGTGTCCATTTTCATTTGTTTCCAGGAAGTCTCTTATTTCTTTCTTGATATTATTGCTAACTCATTCATTGTTTAATAACATGTTATTTAGCTTCCATGTGTTTGAATGTTTTTGAATGTTTTTACTATAGTTCATTCCTAATTTCATTCCCTTGTGATCTGAGATGCTTGATGTGATTTCAATCTATTTGAACTTGTAGAGACTGGTTTTTGTCCTAACATGTGGTCTGTCTTTGAGAATGACCTATGTGCACTTGATAGGAATGTATATTCTGCAGCTTTAGGGTGAAATGTTCTGTAAATATCAGTTAAATCCATCTGATTTAGTGTGCCATTTAGTCACTGTGTCTTGTGTTGACTTTTTGTCTGGAAGCTCTATCTAGTGAAGTCAATGGGGTGTTAAAGTCCACAGCTATGAGTGTATTGCTGTTGATCTCTCCCTTAAAGTCCTTAATGTTATTATTAATAGGTCCTTATTTATTGCCATTTTAATTCTTTATACCTATGTTTCTCTCTCTATTTCTTCTTATTACAGCAGTCCCTTTAACATTTAATGCAATGCTGGTTTGGAGGTGATAAACTCCTTTAGCCTTTTTTTGTGTGGGAAGCTTTTTATTTCACCATCTATTTTAAATGATAGCCTTGCTGGATAGAATAGTCTTGGTTTCAGATCCTTGTTTTGCATTACCTTGAATACTTCATGCCATTTTCTTGTGGCCTGTAGTGTTTCTGATCAGAAGTCAGTTGACAACCTTATGGGAGCTCCTTTGTAGGTAACGGGTTGCTTTTCTTTTGCTGCCTTTAATATTCTTTCTTTGTCTTAACTTTTTGGCATTTTAATTATGACGTGTCTGGGTGTGATCCTGTTTGGATTCTTCTTGCTTGGGACTCTCTGTGCCTCCTGAACTTGTGTGACTTTTTCCTTCACCAGGCTAGGGAAGTTTTCTGTCATTATCTCTTCAAAGAGGTTCTCTAACCCTTGCTTACTTTTGACCTCTTCTGGCACTCTTATGATGCAAATATTGTTATATTTCATGATGTCCCACAGCTCCCTTAGACTGTCTTCCTGTTTTTTAATGGCTGCTTTCTTTTGGATCTCTGATTGAGTGATTTTTTTCTACCCTGACTTCTAATTTGCTGATCTGCCCCCAGCTTCCTCTAATATGCTGTTTATTCCTTCCAATATATTCTTTATTTCTATGCTATTCTTAATTTTCTCCCATAAATTTTTTCATGCTGTTGAGCATCCTTACAATCAAGTGTTCTGAACTCTATATCTAATAGATTGCTTATCTCCATTTCATTTA